TCTAGGGCTAGAGCCGTTTATACCAGTGCCTATGACCGTGCGTCTGAGTCTGTATCTCGCCGACCGCAAAGCGCAAAAGCCTAGCTCTGTACATGGCTCACTCTGGCGCACGCTCGTTTGTTGCCCCAAATGGCGTCTTGATGTTACTATGGTTCCAGGAACCCTGTAGCTGCATCGGTAACTTGCAGTGCTGACGACCCATGGTGCCTCGGATCGCTGATCCGCACTGTATCCAATTATGGCGCCAAAATTCCATCACTTTTCTTAAAATTGTTAACTTTTGTTTGAAAGCATAGTTACTACCACAGTAAGTCTTCCTCAAATTGACGGCCTGAGCTGGGCTCCATGAGAGTGGACGCTTTGCTACGGCTATGTGAGCATTATGCATTTTGGTGTGGCCTTTCCGAAGAGACGAGATTTTTTAGCATTACGAAGCCGAGAGCACTGCGGCTCCTCTTTTGAACGAGAAGAGGGCAAACATTTGAAGTCGATCTATGCAACTTGGTTGCCCCGGAACGCTCCTGGTTGAGGTCTCAATTATGTGTGGTAAGGTCTTCATCGGAGTGGAGTCTTTTTTGTCAGGAAAAACACGCTTGTCGCTTGTTGTTCGTCTTCTCCATAGCAGCGCTTCTTATTCCTTGCTTTGCTGTTTGAAAGGTTCTCCAGTCACCATTCCTTTACCGTGTTTCCTTTTGTAATGTAAGCCATAAAGTAACAAGCGTGAAATTGTAAAAAAGCGCATATACCAAAGTATCAATCATTGAATGAATTAGAAAATATGTTGAATCGATTCTGATCACAAACTAAGAGTAAACCACAAATACTTATGCTCTGATTCAATACTTTGCGAAATGTAACAGTTTCAAATGTTTAAATCGTTTAAATGATGCATCGTCCAATGCCAATTATGGTAGATTTTAGCAGATCGATCGCGCGGATAACAAACAAAGGATCCTACTGATAAATTTTCGGCCCCATTCTGCATTTATCAGATTTCGTGTCCAATCCAGATTCATGTTATCTATGGTTATTAATATCTCTCCTTCCATTCCTTAACCCTGGCCTATGTGTTTCCGATGATTGATCGCCCCGGAAAGATAGAGTCAGAGTCGGAACGGGTTCGCGAGGGGCTGGATACGGAGAAGGGCTTCTAGGAGCGCACCGACGGAGCTCTCATCTCTTCATATCTTGCTCAATCTCTCTCACTACCGAAAGACACTGCCCGGTTAGCCCCGCAACGCCGCGAAACCCCGCTACACGAGCACCTTAACTTTGGAGCCATTTTTCGGCCGGTTAGAAGCATCATAGAAACGGGAAACTGAGTGAAAACATTTGTTAGACATTTTACTTCCATTTGCCAGAAGATGAGACTTAGACCTGATTCAACAAATAAACTGCAGCTATTTTTGCAAAACCTTGCAAAAACCCGTCTTACCCCACCCCAAGGGGTAAGACGGTCACATGGGTAGGGCAAGACGGCCAGCTTCTTTCACCGACCAGCACAGCTCGCAACAAATGCCCGAGATTAGCCGCATTGATACAGTCGCTCGTTGGTCTAGTGTTAACGCCAGACCACTTGAGACCCTAATTTTTCGCGTTCATTTTTGAATGCGTGGAAGAATTTCAACCAAGCTCAGGACATGGCCGTTTCAAGACCTGCCGAAACTTTTACAATTTAGATATTTTGTCGCCATTTCAATATTTCAGGCACTTCTCATTGACTCGTAATGTTAAATTTCGAGCAAGATTTTCACCCGGTGTGTAGAGGCTATCACCAGTCAGTCTGTGATACGTTATGACGTCACAGCTAAAGCCCCGCCTCTGTGGTCTTGGCCTGAGCGCGGTTTCGGGCCGGCGCGCGGCCACTCGCGCTGTGGCGGGGAGCGGGGACGGTCGAGCGGTGCCGAAAGCCGGCAGAGTTGTGCGTAATGTCTTTTCTGACAGTGCCCAAAGAGCGACATGATGACTGAGGAGCAATAAATGCTCAACGCGCATTGCTTGTACAAGGCTGATATGTTCGCGGATATTTGTTTTATCTTTATAAGCTGCAAATGACGGGCAGCTGGAATAGGTATACCTGGCACAAGGATAGGAAATATTCACCTGTATTTAAAGCCTATGGCGTTGCAGATAATGCGATAATGGGATGTCGGATGTCATCAAGTAGATGCTGATTTGTACATCGCTATGCACCCATCGACCAACGCAATACAATAATTAGTTAATTGCCTTCGCTTCACATCATAAGGCTCGCTCGTATTTCACCAAGCAGATATCCTCCATCGAAAATCGTATTTGTTAGGAATCGTTAACGTTTGTTCGAAGCATGTGTGAGTAGTAGGCTGAGGAGTGATGGTCCTCTTGGTCTTATATATAAGAGTCAACAAGAGCCTAACATTTACTTGACCGTCTGCTGCAATGGATTCATAGCACGTGAAGCGTCAGCGAAATTCATAGCCCGTTACAGATGGCAGGGGTGTCGTTTGTACAGAGGTCGCTGATGGGCACGGGTCAATGCCGCAGTCGTGGGCGGAGCCTAATGTCATATGACGTATGAAAGCCTCTATCCAGGATGGAAAAACAGTTAACATTACGAGTCAATAACAAGTGCCACAAATATTTAAGTGACAACAAAATGTATTTGAAGAAAAAGTTTCGGCAGGTCTTGAAACGGCTTTTTCCTAAATATGGTTGAAATTATTCAACGCATTTAAAAATAATCGCGAAAAATTAGGGTCTCAAAGGGTCTGGCGTTAACAGTAGTCTCAAGTGCTTCGGAAATGGCAGTATACGAGATTCGTGCAGAAGGCGTATGCTCGTATATACATATGTAGACCCTAGTTCAGAATCCATGCAGAACCGTTTTTCACATTCGGCATTATTCGAGAATAAACTGTGCCGAAGGAATATTGCTAACATGTCCGTGAGTATCGGAATCGAACATATTCTTATTAGAAATGCTTCTTTTTTTACTACAGCAACAAAAATATTTTCACCATTACAGACCCATTGGATTCATAGTTGCCCGTCTTACCCCAAACTCAATGTCAGAAGTTCAGCACGATTTTTCTCTGTGGACAATTTGATGCAGACAAAGCAAGTCCGCGGTAAATGAACACTGGTCACTGGTGGCATATGAGTGTACATACCACAAGTGATTGCGAGTTTTTAACTCTATAGTGCTGCACAGTGCACACAAAAGCTTGCACAATACATTATGGATGTTTTCAATGAAACGAGTGTTTTTAAAGGGACACTCCCACCTTCAAAAAAGTTAATGAATTGGCATGAAAGTGATGTCCCTTGGTTCAGAAAGAGCGAAAACGAATATCTACCAAATTTCACCGAAAAATATTCACTGGTTTTCAAGATATTAGGCTTTTACTTTTGTTTACTTTTTGGGATCTCCCCTGTTACTAGCGACTTTATTTGGAAGCAATAATTTGGCAGCCTTAAAGTGCGGCAGACGTTGCGCGCAAAGCAGCGTATACCACCACGTGTTAACGATGGTTTTAGTCTAAGATTTAAAAATCGTTAGATCTCCGCTGACGTCACAAATTCTAAGGGGGCATTCCGATGCATTAGCCCCTTAGAATCCGAAAACTGCAAGTTTGAAATTCCATATCTTCGAATTAAAGCATTTTTCGATGTTGTGAGTGCCCAAACCGGTATTTGCAGGCCATGGCCACCAATTTGGCTATCTCAACTCAAAACTAATGTTAAGGTGGGAGTGTCCCTTTAAGTAATCAAAATAAAAGATTATCGACTGAACACAAATTCACCAGACTTCAATGGTGGTCTGTAGTGGGAAAGGCAATTCTGGTCCTAATTTTTCTCGCTCGTAGCGCTATTGGTTTGGTATGCAGAAGGGGTTCCCGTCTTACCTACCCTGCCCGTCTTACCCCACTTTCCCCTACAGTCGCTCGTTGGTCTCAAATGCTTCGGAAAAGGCACTATACGAGATTCGTGCAGAAGGCGTATGCTCGTATATTTAGGCCCTAGTTCAGAAGCCTTGTACAGCCGTTTTTCACATTCATTATTCGAGAATACACTGTGCCGAAGGCATATTGCTAACATGTCTGTGACGACTGTGAGTATCGAAATCGAACATAGGTGTTCTTAACAGAAATGCTTCTTTTTTTCCTACAGCAACAAACATATTTTCAGTTCACCATTACAGACCCATTGGATCCATAGTTGCCCGTCTTACCCCAAGCTCAATGTCAGAAGTTCAGCACGATTTTTCTCTGTGCTGTGGATAATTTGATGCAGACAAAGCAAATCCGCGGTAAATGAGCACTGATGGCATATGAGTGTAGGTACGGGGACCCGCAGTTGATACTGTACAGGGACCCTGAGTAAATTGTCCCAGCACCCTCACAGGGAACAACGATAAGCTGTCAGAGGGCACGCACAGAAAACTTCAGCTGCTCTTGTTCAGGGACCGGCAGTCGATATCAATGTTATCGGTTGTTACTGCAGGCAGGACAGACGGCTAGAGTTGGGGTTCGTGTACAGTAGCAACTGCGGGTCCCCGTACCACAAGTGATTGCGAGTTTTTAACTCTAGGTATAGTGCTGCACACAAAAGCTTGCACAATACATTTTGGAGGCCGCATGGCTCTGTCTGTTTCAAGGGGCTGTGCTACAGCGCGCTGCGCGTAGCGGTGTATTAGGTTTCCATGGAAACATCAGCAACTCGGACGCTCGTAACGCTGAAGCGTAGCGGTGAATTCGTCGCAAACGCCGCACCACAGCAGCGCAGCAGGCGTAGCGCCCGCCTATTCAATATACCCTGGGCGTAGCGCACTGTGTACATACATACAGTAGGTCTACAAAGTAAGTCCTCTCCGTATGCGGCCTGCGGGCAGGTGGCGCCTGAGTAGGGTTCAGGCGCTTACTGCCCACTGGTGACCCGCTGACGGCGGGGACTTATTTTGTAGACCTACTGTACCGGCGTGCCAAGAAAGCTAGGCCAGATATGGGCCTACGGTCCATCCGTTTTTTCTTTCTTTTCTATAGTTGGGTTTTTATTGTCATGCAGAACTACATAACTCAAACTAGTGACCGATTTCGTTCGTCGCTAGGCGTAACCAAGACCCTAAGAACAACAGGGCGTGACAACCAGTTCCAATGGTGGTAATCGGGTATATCGGCTATCGAAGCGGTGTCTTACGGCCCTGCCCTGACACCCAGCCAGGTGCCGCCTTGCTCCCTCATTACGCCTGCTCCAGGTACGAAGTGGGGTCGCGCGGAGCCGGAACGGAGGCAGAGCTCCAGCTGGCAGTTGTTCAGGAGCTCCACCAGCGCAAGCTTCAGCTCTAGCAGTGCTAGCCGAGTGCCTGGACAGCAACGTGGCCCAAGGCCGAACGGCAACCAGGCGGCAGCCGGCCGTCCCCACCGCTCCGACTCGGCAAACCGATTCGGGTCGAACAGGTCGGGTTCCGGATACAGCGCTGGGTCGTGATGAATACCTAGCACCGGGATGTACACACTGCCGTGCGCCGGCAAGCTGAGGCCGCCCGGGAACCGGTACGGCGCGGTGGCGCAGCGTGCCAGCTGCGGCGTGGCCGCCGGGTACATCCTGAGTACCTCACGTACCACCTGGTCCAGATACGACAGCCGGGACACCAGCTCGAGCGCGTCAGATGCGCCTTCGTTTCGGTGCTGCTGCAGCTCGCGGCGGAGGCGCTCCTGGATGGCCGGATGGTGGGCCAGACAGCGCGCGCTCCAGGCCAGCGCGGCTGCCGTGTTGCCGTAGCCGCCGAGAAGCAGCATGGCGCCCTGGGCGGCCAGCTGGCGGTCCGAGAGCGGCTCGCCGGCGCGCGAGAGATGCTCCATCAGCAGCTGCAGCGCGTCCTCGCACCGCACGGCTCCCGCTGCGCGTCGCCGCGCCGCTGTATCCAGCGTCAGCTGCGCGAAGAAGGCGATTGCTTCGTCCGCTCGCGATGTCGCAGAGGGCAGCCACCGAGCGAGGCCCAGCCGACTGGCCGCCGTCCGCAGCAGCACCGTCCAGGGTGCCGGCCGCCACACCAGGTCACGCGCCCGGGTCACCAGCTCGCTGTCGGGCTGCTCTATGGCGCCAGTCTCGAGTCCAAATGACACAGCGGAGATACAGTCCAGAGTGTATCGCTGAAACAGGGCCTCGACCTCGATACCCTGTTCACCACCAGCAGCCCCCTCCCGGAGCGCCTGGGCAGCCAGCCTCCGAGCCCTGTCTTGAAGGAGGGGAGCGGCGCGCCGCATCCTGGCCGCCGAGAAGGCAGGTGTCAGTGTGTCTCGCAGAGGTCGCCACTCCTCCGCCGGCAGGTTCATCATCATGTTGGAGAGCGTGGTGGTGCGCGGGGCCGGCGGCCGTCGGTCGCTGAAGCTGCCAAAGTCGGCTGTCATGACGCGGTGCACCAGGCCGAGGTCGGAGACGGTGACTGCCGGCCCGGCGGCGTCCAGGTGCGCCTGCACACCGCCGGCGGCGCGCACCTCGGCGTACTCGCGCCGCAGCGCCGCCGGGTAGCTGCCCAGCAGCGCCGCTGCGCTGCGCGCACCCAGCGGGAAGTGGTCCCGGCGGTGGCGCACCCCCAGCAGCCGCCAGTGGTTTGGCCGGCGGGCAGATAGCAGCAGCAGCAGCAGCAGCAGCAGCAGTGGCAGGAGCAGCGCCACCACCAGAGTGACGGACACGCCGGCAGTGGGCCAGCGCCACAGACACGACACCATGACGGGAGTCGTCAGTCCCACTGCGAGAAACACTGACTTGAACGGTACCGGGATCGCTGCTCCCACCACTTTAGCGACTCCACGATCTCTTCTGACATCCTCGCGGCTTCCCGCAAGGCCCACTTGAAGCCGAGCTAGGCCGATGCTGATAGCTGCATTGATATTGGTTCAAGCGAAGGCGTTATCAGTTTCAAAGTCAATTGGTGCCTGTATGATGTATATAGTAAGTACCTTGAGGCCCATGCGGCGGTATCGGGCTGTCCAATGTCCATCAAACACCGAGCTGTGATAGCCCTGCTTGGTTGACACCTTTGAACGGGCCCCGGCGCAGGACTTCTTCCTTAGCCCTAACCTGTTCCTTGATTCCGCATATTCAACCACTAAATTCACACACACAGGCTTCACATTCTCAACACTTCTCACGATATTTTGCTCCGAGTATCGGCTTCCATTCAACTCTCAAGATCTTTTTTTGTTTTTGTTATCACCGCTGCCGTGGCTGTCCTCTGGTCCTGTCCTCCGGGCGGCGCTCGCCGGTCACAGCAGTTACCTCTCCAGACAAGATACCGCTCCAGACTGGTCTCTATGTGACTGTGCCACTGAATGGACGCCGCCCCTCCCTCGGCTCCGGGGCGCACAACGGCCAGTACACTGAGCAGCGCAGCAGGCGACACCGGACCGGCGCAATGTTATCATAACATCCAAACATGACCCTGTGCGCAGCGACCCCGGCGACCCGGACGAGAGACACTCGGCTCACTCGACAGCTCGATCCTTGTCGTCAAGTGAGGAGAACTTGATGAACGACGAATGACGATGCAGTGTCAGGGCCTCTGTGGGCAATATAATGGGCGATGAAGTGATACCCATTGCAATACATTCAGTACATTCGCAATACACAGTACATGCATGACTGGTGAGGTCGCTGAATTGTCGATATAATCGACACTGAATATAGCCGAACCGAACCATCCCGTCTCCGAAATTTGGTGAGAATGAGTAGGGGAGAGTGGCCATATTGCGCCACGTTAAGCGAAACTGGCTTCAGCTTGGAATACAAAGACAGCACAGGTTAGTTGATTTCATATTATAGGTATTTAGAAACCTTTTTCCTACCTTTTTTAGACACTAATTTATCGCATACTTCAACTCATTAGCCAGACACGGTCTTTTTTAGAAAGTGTTGCAAAGGGCGCAATTGTCGAATAAATACCTTCGATAAATGCGCCCACACCATGGCGCAATTGAATTCAAATGCGCCCACCGCAAATACATGCATTAGCTATGGGCTGTAAAGATAAGAGTGATAAGTAGGTAATGCATTGTATGATGTGTCATTATTTCATTAATTTACCATCTGTTTTTTAGAAAGTTTATTAGAAGTGCACAGTGACCTCAAATTGCTTGTGGTTTTGCATCTCCCTTTCGAATATTAGCCATCATTATTAATGTTACCCATTTCATTAACACCAGTATAACGCCTTTTGGGGCGACTAACGGAGCGAGCGAGAGGGTGGGCCTTGCACGTGCGAAATTGCGAGGGGGTACCTCCAACTGACTTGTGCACGGCACCCTACTAACCGGTCTCTAGCGATGTGCCAAATCTGGGCACATTCGGCCCAGCCGTTCTCGAGATCTGGAAGCGGAACCCTGCACGTGCGCACGTGCAAAATGGGTCCCAACTGACTTGTGCACGGCACCCTACTAACCGGTCCCTAACTGTGTACCAAATTTGAGCGCAATCTGTCGAGCCGTTCTCGAGATCTGGAAACGACCCCTGCACGTGCGCACGTGCAGCGGCACCCCAACTCTGGCACATGGATATGCAGTGCCTAGTGGGTGCCTACCTACATGCCAACTTTCAGCGCAATCGGCCAAGTAGTTACCGAGATATTGCAACAATTACAAAAGTGACACCTCTTCGTTTTGCACGTGGCACGTGCATAAGGGGTCACCCACATGCATCGGGAATAGTCCAATACTTGGTAGAAGGAATGAAGCTACCCTACAAAAATTACCGCATGTAAATCGGTCAAGTGGTTGCTGAGATATAAGCCTCGCAAAACGGCCGGCCGGCCGCTCATACTCAGAAATTTCCGTTATTCTACGTAAGACTCCGCTCGCTTCGCTCGCTCCGTAATTAGCCCGGGTGTGGCGCATTTAACCCGGTCGCATTTGAAAAAAAAACGTAGTGGTGTGACAGAACATGGCGTCCCTATTCACCGCAGCCTTAATCTCTTGCATGGAGGCAAGGGCGGATCCAGGGTCAGCTGAAGGGGGGGGGGCAAATGCCCATTATGTTTTTCGCTAGGATAGGGCCCGCGGAACCTAACCTACCCCAAATCCTATTTTCTCCCCGGATTTCGGCCACTTTATTATGTAAAGCTGCCAAAAATAAATTTCTAAAAAAATAAAAATCACGTATCACTGACCATCCAGGCCGGGGGAAGGGAGGACCAACCTGGCTGCGCCCGTGCAAACACCAATCTGTGACATCATCCTAGGCTCTGCCCAACCGGACATCAAGTAGCGCCTTTTTTAACCCACGCCGGGGCTGGGGAGGTGTTCGGACACCCAATTGCGGTCTTTTGCGGATATCTAAAAAACGGCGGCCGTATTTGGCACACCTGTCAATGCATCTTTTCCGCACATGTCATGAACATTTCAGACCCAGGTCGCTAAAGGTCCAGTCACTACGTCACTTCAAGAAATCTCACCTCAGAAAAACTTGAATGTTCGTCATAGCTACACCGACTGAATGATTGCCTTGAAACTTTCAGCGGCTGGTACGAGTAGCAGTATGTACCTATAAAATGCTTATCTCGGAGTTTTGATATCGGTGACTTACGGTCAGGTCAATTTTGCGTCCTCTCCTTTTTGAGTAAATAGGAGAAAATCGGAAGGCGGCTCTTTTGGACGAACGTCATTCCAAATACTCAAACATCGGGTTACAGTTAAAATAGACAGCTAAATCGAAAAATTGCAACCATGACCCCTCCATTTCCCTGGGGTCATCTTAGGTCATCAAAGGCCCCCAGCAGTTTTTGACAATAACTTTTTATGGAGACATGCTAGAGGAATGAAAACATATTCGATGTGTTCAGGTCGACAATACGGATCTACTGATATGCAAAATGACCATTTCCGATCAGGTCACTACCTTGACCCAAGGTCAAATTTTCAAAATACCTTTTAAGTCCAAATTATAGTTCATTTGAGCCATCTCGACGAGAGATCTCGACGTTTCTTGAGTCAAAAGTGATTTAAAAAAAAAACGTTGTTCGTAAAAGCAGCTATTTTCAATTTTTGCCTCCGGCGGCTAAACCGTTGACCTGAGGTCAAATCTGAGCACTGTCTTTAGAAAAAGCGTTAAAAGGGCCATCGAATGCGTTTTTCTGCGGCGCTGCAGCAGCTCTATTGGTTCTTGAGTTATGCGCCGGAGTTTCGAAATTTGTTGACATACATAGGCAAGATTTTTCTTTTGATGTTCTCTGGTGACCAGACCTTTGACCAGACTTAAAAAGATAACTGCTTTCGTCTTGATTTTCGAAGGTCTTTCGAAGGCCGCTTGCCGCGTGTCGCTACGTGGCCCAGGAGCTGAGTTAGAAGGAGAGGGGGTGTTCAGACACCCACCGGCCCGGAGCGGTTGGCACCGAGGACCGGCCTGGCGCGGGTTAAGGAGAGAGGTTAATGCGTGACTATTTCCCTTGGATCAAAGCCGATTGAAGGGAAACTGCAAGGTGGTTTTATGCAGGGTCCGACAAAAGTTTTGTCCTCTACCTAGGGCAACACTTATCCGGCTTCTAATCGTTTCTACCCCTAAGGGATAAATATTTTGGAAAAAGATTTTGGGAAAGATTGCACGGTCCAATAGCCTCCAGCGGCTCAGTTCTGAGTCGACGCATGGCATCGACGGTCGATGGAAGGTCAACATGCATTTTCATGGAGGACGGCGCGCCAGCTCATTGCTCTACCAAGGTCCAGGTGGTTGTGTCAATCGAGCCTGCCGGAGTTCTGAAGAAATAACCGGCTACCATCCGGACCCTAATCCTGAGCGAGGATCTTTGGGCTACCTTCCAGCAGGACATAGACAAATGGAATTCGGCGGCCAACCTCGGCGCCTTGCAGTTACAGCCAAACGGGCATAGTCGAAAATCAAGCTGTCTGTGCAGTGTGCCGCATAAGCTTGCCAGCACGCCAAAAAAAATGTTCGTGCGTAAATCCCTGTTCATATTAATAACAAAAAAGTTAATGTTCGGCCTTAGCGTCGATGGAAATGGTAAAATAATTCTGAAAAATTAGCCTGCTGTGAGAAACAGCACGGATGAAAGGGGGACCAAAAGATATGTTGGCCCCCCCCTTTCAGAGCCGAAGGGGGGGCCATGACCCCTTTGGCCCCCCTGGATCCGCCCTTGCATGGAGGTGCTCAAATCATTCGAAATTAACCATCTGTCCGAAAAATTAGCAGTACATGTGTCCAAACATTCCCTAAACCCTATTCTACAGCTTTGAAGAATGCTTTTTTCGCTAAGAAACCCCAACATTTAAACAAAATCGTTACTTAAAGGGACCCTCCCACCTTCAAAAAAGTTTATGAATTGGCATGAAAGTGATGTCGCTCGGTTCAGAAAGAGCGAAAACGAATATCTACCAAATTTCACCGAAAAATATTCACCGGTTTTCAAGATATTAGATTTTTACTTTTGTTTACTTTTTGGGATCTCCCCTGTTCCTAGCGACTTTATTTGGAAGCAATAGTTTGGCAGCTGAAAGTGCGGCACTTGTTGCGCGCAAAGCAGCATATACCACCGCGTCCTACAAAACGTTTTAGTCAAACATTTAAAAATCGTTAGATATCTGCGCTGACGTCACACATTCAGAGGGGTATTCCTATGCATTAGCCCCCCTGAATCAAAATGCTGCAATTTTGAAATTCAATATTTCCGATTTAAGGCATTTCTCGATGTTGTGAGTGCCGAAACCGGTAGTTGTGAGCCAGGGACCCCATTTTGGCTATCTCAACTCAAATCTAATGTTAAGGTGGGAGGGTCCCTTTAAGCTTATGCTGCCTTACCTCTGCCAAGGTTCTACCGGAAAAGGAAGTATGATCGAGGTGGGCACCTTTCGCAACCACCACTAGGTAATAATTGAATGAGGACTTTACTCCACAAGAAATCGTTCGGGTCGGAGCTTTCGAATTGTATTACAAAGCTTCGTCAGCGTATCGTAATCGGGTTCGGGGGTATCGGTCGCAAAATTGAGGGCGATTCGTCTTTGGCAGACAAGGACATGTCACAGATAGTAAAATAGATAAATAGCACGTGACATTCTATGATAAAACATTTAACATATATGAAAAAGAAGAAAATATCTCATAAGCGACATACATTCACCACTAATGGTGTGCCAATTTTTCTGGAGCTTGGGAGGGCGCATTTATCTCGCGGGCGCAATTAGGGTACTCTCCCCTATGGGTCGAGATTCTCTACGGGCTAGGACAGATACTGGCGAGCTTGGTTGATTGAACTGCAGTGGAATAGGACTTGGACGAAAGACATTTTCTCCCATGCCTTACAGCAGAGAGCCGCTGTAGCAGGACGACAATAGTGTGCTGCAACTGCCGCGGAAGGTTGTCCTGGCGAGCGGC